AATTATAAATTAAAATGCACTAAATTGCATTTATTTCCAGAAATATGAACATTGGATAAAGCCAGGTCCTCTTTCATTTTGTTGACATACTGAATTGTTTTTAACGAGGAGATTTTGAATATCTTCTATTACCCCATAAATTAGAAAATACTGTCAAGCTTCATCAGCAAGGGAAAAAACATTCCCCGTGAATTAACCAGTATTATATCAGGCAAATGATAAATGAACAAACTCCTCTGTAAAAACCTTTAGAACGTACATGGGAATAAAAATGGAAATTTAGGTGTACACAAACACTACTTGAATAGAGATTTTAGGCTCAGTGCATGAGGAAAAATTCTCCATTTTTGAGAAAACAGCCTTTAAAGATCAATGAAAATGTCAATTAAATCTCCAGACGGAAATAAAGCGTAACATAAATACTTAAATGTGTATTTTGGATGTTTTTTTTCCACTACTCTTAGGTAGACATGCCATTGAAGCCAAATACCCCTAAATCTCAAAACTGACCAGCACATGAAAAATCAATGGTTTTGCCTGTAGTGTCTTGCCTTAGAAAACTATGACATAACCATCTGGATCATTTTAGGCTGATAAATTGGTCTATAAAATTGATATTTTCCCACAGCATGACTACTAAAGCAGAAATAGTCTTTGTACAATCCTTTAAACTGTTACAAGCATAAGCCGCAACCTTTGAACAGAAAAGCAGTGAAGTGGTCCCTCAGTAAACCAGATATTTCCCCTCTTAACTGTGAGTGTCAGCGTGTTTCAGGTCATATCTCATGCCGTCTAATGACAGCTGCTTTCATTATGCATGCAGTCCACTGCACAGCACATTTCTCAAGAGCAAAGAGGGTAGAATATGTTCCTCAGAATTTCAAACCTCTATGACTTTCTTTCATCCGTGGAACAAAAGAAGAGATGTTAGGCAGAACATTACAGACTGATAGTCTTAATCATTTTTCACTTTCATAACATCTTATTCCATACAACGAAAGTGAAGAGAAGCTGTCATTCTACCAAACATCTCCTCTTCTGTTCCTCAGAAATAGTGACATACGGGTTTGACACAACACGAGGGTGAGTACATGACATACTTTTCATTAGCGTTGGGTGAACTATCGCGTTAAGAGCAATACCTTTTTTAAAGCATCATTTAAATACACAAGTGTGATCGTTCACATGAACGACAGGTGAATTTACGCGTCTAATCATGAAACGTAATGTAAAGGTAAGAACAAGAAACGAAAACAACAACAACAACAACAGTTGTCAACAGCCACGTAACCAGTAACGTTACATCCACAAAAAAAGTTTGTTAAATTATTATTTTTTTTTTACAAAAACAGCCAATTCTTATATTTTCTAAAGCAATGAGTGTTGGTCGGATAAGCATCAGGTGTGTGTTTATTAGTGAAAATCTGTCCGTGAACGTAAAGGCACCGCTATAGCCACCAAACAGAGCAGCTAGCACGCGCTCAACACAGCTGTTTCCTTTAGCTACGCCTCAGCTGAATGTGTCCTCGAAATGAGTGGAGTTAAAACTTTGTAAAAGCCTCTATGAGGCTCCGAAAACGACTTACCGTTGACATATCACATCGTTTGATGGTCCATGATTCGCACCGTTTAACGTCTGCGCTTCCTGATCACTGGCAACGACTACTTCCGGCTAAAAAAAAAACCTACCTTCAAAATAAAGGTTTATTGGTTTAAAGTCGTCATGGAACGGAAGTTGCGATTGTATTTTCTTCTGTACTGTGACGTATATCCGAGTGAAACGGCATCTGAAATGAGAAGGCGGGACTTGACAATATGGAGGGAGATCTGAATGCCAGTTTGCAGTTAGTGGTGGGGGATTTCTCTCCACTGGATTCACAGCCGACACCCAAGCATGAATAAATGTTTTATTTATTAAGGATGAAGACAAGGATCAACTGCACAAAACATGCCTAAACAGCACGCGAGAGAGCCACAGAGAGAGAGAGAGAGAGAGAGAGAGAGAGAGACTGCCTGAATGACTGGGCGTGTCCTCCATCAGGTTAAGTCATATTCTTGAAAAAAAAGTTTGCCATGTCCTAAGAGTAATGTTGTGTAATATCCTAATATCTTTTCAATGTTTAGGGGTAACCTACTCCCTCATGACTGGTGCCAGTGCTATAAAGTGAAGCATCAGCTTCAGCCTTTCCCCCTGTGCTTATTCCAAACGTCACTGATGTCACTGCAGCTGTTGGCAGTTCCAGATAGCTCCGCCCTTGCGCCATAGCTCGTGACCGGAAGAGAAGATGAGTCGTTTTGAGGGGGAGGGGAGGTTAACGTTTTTGATTAATGATTACTAGGGCACATGAATTTAAAAAAAATAATGAAGCGCACGGATAAATTATTTATAAGAAACACTACAGTATTCCATTAAAAAATAATAAGTTTCAATTTTGATTTCATGGTGACTTTAAGTCAAATCCTTCAAGACAACTAATAGTAATAATCTTGTCAAAATGAAAAAAAAAAATCAATATTATTAATCACGGATAACTTTACAGCTTTACAAGGTTATATATTATTAAAATCATTAATATACATAAATTGACATAACTAATTCTGGAAGTACTTAAAGGGATAGTTCACCATATAAAAAATATGTTGGCATTTTCTCTTTTTTCGTCAGTGGAACATGAAAGATATATCTCAATAGCCACCAAAACTGTTTTGTTACATTCTTTAAAATATCTTTTCTTATGTTGCCCAGAAGACAGTCACTCATATTTGGAACGACGCGAGGGTGAGTAAATGATGACAGAAATGTAATTTTTGGGTGAACTGTTTCTTTAAGAAAATTCTAACACTTTAACTGTCAATGCAGCTGTGCCAAAATAAACAGACACTCTTTTAGTGAATGCATGTATTTTGCAACTAGATCATCTGAAGATGATGTTTTTACTGTCTGTCCTTCACACACAGATGCTTAGATGTGTTGGACACTAAATGACAAACTCAGAGCTGCCACTAGCACCTGATCAGCCTGTGTTAAATAGGCTGAATCCATTATGTTTGACAGGCCAGCTTTAAGCTTGTGGCAAAATCCCTGTTAAAGTCAATTTTCAAGATTTAGATATTCAACTTTTGATGAGGATTTATCCAGAAATGAGACAGTGTTAACAAACTACCACTTTGGTAATTGAAATGAAGCTGAAATAAAATTAATAATTAATAATAATTAATATTAGATGAAAAAACGAATATTTAATAAAATATCTTCCTTTGTCTTCTGCAGAAGTCATACAGATATGGAACAACATGAGGGTAATTGAAATGAAGCTAGAACAAAATATTGATAATAAAAATATTAATTATAATACAAATAATTAATAATATAGAATAGAATATAACTCAATGGACAGCAAAATAGTTACCAAACTAAAATAAAATGAAAACTGAAAATATATAAGCTAATAATCATAATAATTAAAAATGTTATTAAATACTATAATATTATACAAATAATACTAAAATAACACTACATATTGGTTGCAACTTGACATAAGTGTAGAGTGTAACATAAGGATATCTACCTGGCTTGAAAAAATAAACTGAAGACAAACTAAATTTTCTGCTTTTTCATTTTTAATAATCTTTTTTTATATAGACATTTTATTATGTATATATAAACAGACATTTCAATCCATTTCCCCACCTGCTACCTGACACAGACGTTCACTCACACGGTCCACTTACATTCACTTCCCATAATAAATTATCTTTCCCTCTAAAGAAAGAGCAAAGCAAATGCACACAGAGAAAGTGGTGTATGGTTGACTCGCACAAAATACATCTTCCGTATTAAGATCTGATTTTAGGATCTTTATGCTTTTCGTATCAAGCTTCTCGAATCACATGAATGTAAGCAAGGCCTTGATTTAACAAACCTTCTTGGCTTTAGTTGAAATTAACTATGCAAAACTTATTTTGTACTTATTAAAATAAACTATGATAATACTTAAACATCACACTAGATCGTTGCCTGTCACTGTGACAAAAATGAATATGACAAATCCAACTGGATTCCATGAATTAGTTTCTTTTTAATGATGAAATTAACATTATTTTTTTTAACTGCAGCTACATTTACTTGTCTTTTCATAAAAGACTTTCATTAAGCTTTTTGTTTAGAATTTGTCTGAAGATTACAATGAGGACAGATTCATACACTAAAGGCACAATCTAAAAATGCAACATTCTCCACATGGGAGAGATGAAAACATTATTTAATAACTATCCTGCAGTCAACTTTGTGCATTGCTTTTTCCCCTCACATGACTCCAAAGCGGTTAATCATTTTGAGAAAATAAAATACATAAACATAACCCATTCCTGCATATAATAATTCTTGTACATTCCATCTTTATCTATTCTGTAAATCCATACAGTTCACGTCATAAGACTTTTAATCAACATCCCCATTTATTTCTTAATATGTATGTCCATATTTATCCCCAAAACCTCAATTATTTTAGGTTCAAAACCAAAGAGCAGCAGTGGTCGTGGTGGCAGTGTCTGAAATACAAGCTAGCTGTGGCTCATCACCAGACCCCTGCAAACTTGTGTCCACATCCATAAAATATACTGTACTATACTTGCCCCAAAAGACAAACTTGCACCTAAACACACACAAAAAAAAACAGTGAGGACACAAAAGGGGATGTGGGAACACCATCAAAAACTAAAATAAAATGCTGGCGAACATATAATAACAAACCGCCTGTTCTTCCCACCCCCAAATATACCAAAAAAAACACTCACTCTGGACAAAATCTAAAAGATTTCAGAAGTGCTGCTGATGTTTTGTGATGTTCATTGAGAATGAAATGGCCCTTGATCATTTGCTGAGGAGAGTAATGTTTGCTTGATGATGCTGAATAAGCTGTATTATCCAGGCACAGATAGACTACATATATTATTTTGAACTTTGCCCTAAGAAGATCTCTGTGTAATTAAAGAATAACAATAACACCCACCCACCCAGATTCCTTGTGTCAGCCGAAGTTTTGTCCTGAAATCAAGGACTGTTCACATCCTGTGTACAAACGCACATACACACACACACACAGACACCATCGTCTTTCTGAAAACAACGAAACCTCTTGAAACTGTGGATGTGGCACATGCTCTCTGAAGCACACAAACACACTGCATTTATGTCGTCATAAAGGAACCTCCAGCAGCTTTTTGTGTAGGTACTGCTTCACTTCCTCTATCCCATTCAGCTTCTCCAACTCCAAATAGGGCAACTGCAAGTAAAATACAAGTAAATTAAGTTTTATAAATATTATATAAATAGTGATTTTTTTTTTGTAAATTTCTTATTTTTGATATTTTTGCCATAATCTAATGCTGCCTTAATGCTATAGTAAAGATTGAACTCTATTTAGCAAGTTTATTTGATCACAAATACAGTAAAAATGTACTGTTGTACAATATTATTTCAATTTAAAATAGCTGTGTTCTATTTAAATACATTTTAAACAGAAATTTATTCCTGTGATCACAAAACTGAAATTTCAGCAGCATAACTCCAGTTTTCAGTGTCACATGATCCTTCAGAAATCATTCTAATATGCTGATTTGGTGCTCAAGAAACTTTACTTTATTATTTATTTCCTTCATATACTATTCAATTTCTTATTACATCACAGTTTAAAACTCTTTTTCTGGAAATGGTGATCCTTTTTTCATAATTCTTTGATGAATAAAAAGTTCATCTGATTAATCATGATCATTAAAAAAAATCATGATCATGAAAAATGAACAGCATTTATTTGAAAGTTTTTTTGTAACATTATTAATGTCTTTACTGTCTCTTTTTGATCAATTTAATGTCTCTTTGCTGAATAAAAGTATTAATTTCAGAAAAAAATCTTATTGCTATATTTTCCCCATGCAAGCTGATTTTTAAGAATTCTAAATTATAGTTTTAATATGTATTTTAATATGTACATATACATTGACTTAAACTATTGATTTTAGTATAGTGTTTTATTTTTTAAAGAAAAGAGCTGCAATCAGATTAGGTTTGAATGTACTATTGAATGTAACAAAACATTATATTCTGCTATTAAAATTAAGTCAGATACCAAATATTGGTGGGTCCCTACTATTTAAAATAAACTAGACACCCAGCATATATGATATCTTAAGCCTGAAGAAATAAAAAATTGAATAAATCAAATATTTTGTTCAGTGTTCACCTGTAGTATGATGTAGCCCAATAACTGCAGGTGACGGTCTCTCATTGCCCTGGATCCGACCAGCACATCAGAATTATGGCAGTAATGCCATTTATCATTTACAGACATAATAACCCTGCATGTGAGGAAGGATAGAAAGAATGGGTTAAAGATAATGAGCAAGACATTCAAGCCCAGATGGCATAGATATATATTTGACTGAATGATTAAGGAAGGACTGACCTCTTCACCTGCTCTCCTGTGGTCCGGTCAGCTTCAGGGTTGTCTGGGTTGTGAAGCTGCAGTGGAGAAGTGGCCACAACATCACTCTCACCACCCTCTGGGTACGAAACACCTTCGTAAAATGTAGCCATCTCACAGTCCGGCCCCGGGTTTGCTCCTGTTGCAGCACCTCCCTCATCCTCCAGGATTTTTCCAATGGAGAACTGGAACAGGGAGTCTTGCGGAGCAACCGTGCCTGGAACAGAGGGTCCTGTCTGGGTCAGGCAGTCTGAGGGGCTACTGAGGGTGGAGCTGTCCTGGCTCTCCAGAGAGTGTTCCTTGGCTAGAGTCGAGTAATAATCTGAAGTGCTGTAATATGGGTTGTAGTCCAGCGGGACCGTTCCATTAGGACCGACCCTCTGAGATCCTCCTCCTGCTGCTGCTGCTGGGGGACGCATGTGAGCAGAGAGGAAGGCAGACTCCTGCTCTCCTGCTCGTTTGTCGGCCCCTTCCTCCAGTGACGGGGCAAAGGGAGAGAACTTCTGGAAGTCAGTAGTAAGGGCTGCGACAGAGCCGGGCCCCTCTGGAGATTTGAGGTTCAGTACTACACATGCGGTTGAACCTGCTGCTAATGATGCTGCTGGTGTGCCTGTTCTGATGGGGAGGACGCGGCCCGTGCTGTCGACCCACAGCAGGAAATCTGCCACATGAATTTCATAATAATGCTAAAATTAATATTAATAATTGTATGCAAAATTACGTGAGTTATTTTAAATTGTAATAATATTTCATGATATTACTGTACTTCGTAACTTACTTTTACTATTTTTTATTCCTGAGCAAATAAGTGCAGACGGAGTCACTTAAGTGTAATTACATTTTTAAAATCAATAGTTTGTCAACATATATGCACATATATAACATAAATAAAGCTATATAACTACTACCATAAGAGAAAACTACACATGAATTCCTAATAGCACCAAAATTAATATTAATAACAATTATAATACTACACAACAAAAATTATTAATACTTAAATTCATGCATACAGCCACAGCCAATATTTGGCTTTTTTTATTTTTTTTAATTATCAGCACCATTAAATTTTTCTGTTTGGTGTCAGAAGTGGGATTTAGATTTATTTTTGGGGCTTTAGTTTTCTTTGGGACTTTATGATTTATTTTTTAATTATTTTAGAAAACTTTACGTAAAATAAATATAAACTTCACTGCAGAAATTATGCATGTTATTTAACCATCTTTAAATTACATACAGCAATATCATATAGACCTATACTGGCTTGGCTCTCTGGCCATCCAAAAATCTGTATCAGTTGACTTCTACACAAATACATGGATTACAACAAGAAAATGACCTGTGTAATATCCTGGTGCGAGAACTTCATCTTGTTTGTAGCCGTGCTCACCAACAAGCTGCCGGAGTGCCTCTGCAACCAGACCTTTATAACTGCAATACAAACACTCTGAGCTCACTGCTACCTGGACAAATTGATGCAACACCTCTTTTGGATTTCAGGATACTGGCAGACTTCTAAAGTCACTAACCTGTATTTGCGGTTCACCTCATCCGCAGTTAAAGCGTGGTCGAACATGAGCACTTTGTGGGTATCCTGAAGGCGAGGTCCAGTGTAGTCCCTGTATTCCAGCTCGACGGCTGCATCCAGTAGTGAAAGGTATCGACGTACAATCAGGGCATATGGGCTGTCTACAAACAAGAGACCGAGAAAAGGTGACAGTAAACTTTTACATTGTTACAAAAAAATTCTAAGTAATGCTGTTATTTTGAGCTTTCTATTCACCAAAGAATTGTGAAAAAAAGTATCACGATTTCCACAAAAATATTTAGCAGCACAACTGTTTTCAACACTGATCATAAAAAAAATGTTTCTTGAGCACCAAATTAGTGTATTAGAATGATTTCTGAATGATCATGTGAGACTGAAGACTAGAGTAATGGCTGCTCAAAATTCAGCTTTGCATCACAGGAATAAATTAAATTTTTTAAAACAGAAAACGGTTATTTGAATCGCAATAATATTTCACAATATCGCTGTTTTTTTACTGAATTCTTAATGAAATAAATCCAGCCTTGGTAAGCATGAGACATCTTAAAATCTACATATATTTAAAACTTACAAACCCTAACTCAAACTTTTTATAGTCTAAGAAACTTCTAAGATTATTTTAATAAAAATAAACCACAATTATTTGTTCTGTAAGGTGACATTTTTTTTATTGCAATTTAGTTAATCATTTGTAAAGTATTTATACATTTAATTATATGATTTAATAATATGAAACATGATCTAGACATTCCTTCATCCTTTTTGGAATTCAGTTTCATTTTTTTATGTGGGTCTTTGTATCAAAAGACAGTAAAATACTGTCTTTATTTATACTAAAGTAAACACAGTATAAATAAATACTGTTGAAGAATTGCAATGAATGTTATGTAAAGAAATAAGTCCACCAGCAGAGGTCACTATTGCTATGTGTCACCTGTAATGTGTTTGCAAGAGTGTGTACTGGTCTAATTCCGTTTTAGTGTTTACTTATGTGTGACCAGGATATTATAAATAAGTTTCATTAAACATTAAAAAACCAACATGGAGCCTTGAACCATCTGAGCAAATAAGGATATTTAAAGGCTGACTATTTTATCTTTTCAAGAGACGAGCACTAGTCTTCTTAGCACTCCACAAACAAGCATCCAGTAATGACGAACTCCAACTCACTGGTGACATTACTGATGAACGATGGAGAGAAGACACGGTGAAGAACAAGCCCAGGAAAATGGCCCAGCTGAAACAAAGACATGAGGATGTTTACGGTGGCCAGTGGAGAACTCAGAGCCTTTAGTTCAAGCGCCATCTCCAGCTTGGAGAAAAACTGAGCTTCATTAGCCGGCCGATAACTCATACGACTGAACGGGAAAACGAGCTTCTGGATCACCTAGACAGAGAAAATGTTGAAAGGAGAAAGTTAAATACAATACATTGCTCATGTGGTTTTATCAGCACTGTATAATATGGAAAATGAAAATTAGTTTTTATTTTACTCCGGTTCTTTCCTTTTGAAACAACTCTTTAGTACCAAAACTGGACAAGTTCTCTAACCTTGCTGTCCAGGTATTCACCCTTCTTGACCAAGAAGTCAGCGATAGTGTCTAGCAAGCGGGTTTCTCTGAGGCGATGGCGAGCGATGTATTTGGCGATGAGGGCCATGGTGTAAGGCGTAATGCTATCAACCTTTTTAGGCAACTCCTCTAAAAAGATAAAAAGGGTTTCAAGTTAGCCTTATTTCTCACCCCCCATTCAGTTCGTGGCAACAGGAAACGGTGTATTAGAGCTGCACGATTCTGGATAAATTGAGAATCACGATTTTTTTTTTGTCTCAAATAGATAACGACTCTCCCACGATTCTGAATGAAACAAAATACTATTCCTGCAGTCTATTTAAAAGTGTTTCATTTGAATGAATTAAACATTTTAATATACATATACATTTAAAATATATTAAATGCACCAATTTTTAATATTACAATTTTGAAAAAGTGGTTTGAATTAATGATTCAATGACACACTCATAAATACATCACTTGTTTTATTACTAGATGAATCAGCATTTTTGAATGAATCTCTTGAACGGAAGATTTAATGACAAATGCATTTTTAACAGCCACAATGCAATCGACACGTTATTTGAAGCACCAGTTACTTTCAAAAGGGGATTTGCTCTATTTTGATCGCTAAGTGTAAACTTTGATCCCAGTATTTCTGTGATAATATGAATGACCATAAGACAGAAATAATACTATGTAGTTGAGAAGACTGTTTGTGAAGCTGTTTCTTACCCAAACATGGTAAATGTCTGCTCTCTGTGTCAGCGGCAGTGCGAACGCAGATTTGAATGTTGTATGATTTTTTTTTTCAAAGGTTTAATAGACACGGGCAAATCGAAATGGGATCGCATAGGTGTTTGAATCAAGATCGTGATCTTTTAACGATTAATCGTGCAGCTGTATTGTGTATCATTTCAAAAACTTTAATACAAAGAAAGAGTTCACAGGAAAAAAATTCTGCCTTGAACACCAAGTGGTCAAAGTTAGTTCCTGCCGGAAGATGCCGGAACTCCTCAGTTAATACTCAGATTATTTCTCTATTGACACACACTCAACATTTTAAAGAATCAAAGATTATTAACAGAAATGTCAGAATTATGAACGGTAATTTCTGTTTGTTTATCAGAAGTTATATGTTTGATTATTTGTTGATCATTTAGCTTCTGAAATGTTTTTTTTTTTTGTATTATAGTGGGTTTATGGTGGATTTTTTAAATACATACATTTTCACACATCACACAAAATAGTATTGTGTCATGAGTAAAAAATTATGTATTAAAAACGGACGGATGAAGCTTCATGCTGCTGCTGAAAACCATGGAGATGTCCTTTTGGTTAAACTGGGACAGGCGAGCCTGGGACTCTTCCTCCAGAACCTGTACGATCTGAGAGTCACTGGGCAGCCCTGAGTGAGATGGAGAACACACAGGATCAATACAAAAATACATGTTTTTATATTAAAATATTAAGAAACTATAGACTGTAACTGGGACGTTGACATGGCATATCAAGCAGTGTCACAAGCTATACTTCACCTAAAAATGTTTCAAACAACAAGAATTTCAATCTCATTTTTAATTTTTTTAAAAATTTGGGCACCCTTTTGCTTCAATAACAGCATATAGTACATAAGAGCTGCTATGGAAAACATGCACCATGCACTTTTTCGCCTCTTGAATATTGTGTGCAGGTATTCTTTTTAATAAATAAATGATTATTATTATTAATAAATATATATATATATATTTAAAATATTTAGCAATTATTTGTTTTTAAACATTTAATGTAATTTAAATTTACTTAAAATTTAAAACTTTTAAACTGATTTTTTGAAACATTTTCTTAATATTTGGACATCCTTTTACTTTAATAACTGCATAAACGCAAGCTGGTACAGAAAACATATTGTGTTTGCACTGAGCACTTTGTGACTTTTTGTACCTTTTCTCTCTTAAATATTCCTGGAAAAATGTTTCTATATTATGTATTGTGCGTGGGTTTTTTCTTTATAGCACATAATTTCAATTAACCCTGTTAAATGGAAATAAGGAAATCTGACCTTTTGATGAAAGGGTCATGTTTAATGTCAATGTCATTTGCTTAATTACTTGGTAATCTAAAAATAATGCAAAATGTAATATTTCAAAGTGCCTGTCCATGTTATCTAACTACACTACATTCACTTTAGCTACTGAACTAAACGTGACGACTCACCAAGAGCAGCTACAGCATAAAGGCAGTTAACAATGCTGAAGTTGTCAAACTTGGAGCAGTCATTGACAATGGCATCACAAAGCGTCTGAAAATCCTGATTATCCAGAATCTGACGTATGGCGTTCTCCCCCGAACCTCCAGCAGAGGACGCAGGTAAGGCCCCGTCACCCGCTCCTCCACCGCCGCCTGATCTGCTCCCTCCAGCCTGCTGCAGCACCAGGAGCTGACCGATCTTCTGTAGGGCAATGGGGTAATGATTGTGCGAGATCTTCCCTGGATTCTGGGTGACCCAGCGCAGAACTTCATCCACGGTGTGCGAGCGATCGATCAGCCGCTTCATGGTGAAGAAGGTGTCGTAGCTCATCTTCTCGTGGATGAAGTTCCAGGTCTTCTTCTTGCCGTGGTGCAAATGCGCATGAGGCTGGTAGTGTGGAGGTGGGAGGTGGGTGACTTGAGGGTGGGTGTGGTAGTGTTGGTGGGTCTGGTAGTGGGGCCGGTGGGCGTCTAGACGGGCTTGATAAACAGGTGGATAGCTCTGAGGCTGATGGTCATGGGGGTGATGTGGCGGGAGCGGATGATGGTGGTTCTCCAGCATGGGCGGCCCTCCTCCTATCAGGCCGATGCGGCGACCTGGCTTGCCCCCACCACCGCTGTACATACGTGTGGTGTACATAGTAGTGAGAGCACCTAGACTCAGTAGGCGAGAACGCTGGTGGGGCAAGGAGAATCTCCTGCAGTTTAAGAGGCCAAAGCATACAGGCAACCCCAGCATGGTATATAGGGTGGTCCAACAGTGAAGTTCAAAAGAACACTCCTACAAACAGAAAGCACATCTTTTACTGAGTACACTTCAGAGTACAAATTATTTTTTTTAGTCTTTATCCAGCAGCTTTTAGTGCTGAACCACAGTGAGATGCAATCATGCAACATTATGGTTCAGCGCTTAAAGAAACTCATCTCCACACTAATGAATCAGGCAGGAGGTGCTCCAGAAATAGACAGTAACTTGAGAATTGTCAGGCTGATGTGCCCTTTCCATCAGGGGCTGAGCGGAGGAGAGGATATCCCATCCTCATATCTGAATCAGACCTCAATTGAGTAGTGAATTAGGATGAATTAGGATGGTTTTCATAACACAATAAAATGATACTGATTCTAAGGTTGATCCAGATACAAATCTTTAAAAACAGCTACCCAGTCAAGGATGTACACTAAAGTTTGGGGTCAGTAAGATTTTTAAAAGAAATTAGTACGTTTATTCAACTACGATGCATAAATTCATCAAAAGTGGCTGTAAACTGTAAAGGCTTTTAAACATTGATAAAAAAATATTTCTTATACATGCTGCTCTTTTGAACTTTCTGTTCATTGAAGAATCCTGAAAAATGTAGCATGCTTTCCACAAAAAAGCAGCACAACTGTTTTCAACATTGATGATAATAATAATAAAAAGATTCTTGAGCACTAAATCAGCATATTAGAATGATTTCTGAAGGATCACGTGACACTGAAGACTGTAATGACAGTAATGGCTCCCCAAAATTCAGCTTTGTCATCACAGAAATAGAAACATAAAACAGTTATTTTAAATGGTAATATTTCACAATATTACTGTTCATACTTGTTTAAATGCAGCCTTGGTGAATATAAGAGACTTTTTTCAAAAACATAAAATATTACCGACCCCAAACTTCGGAACAGTAGAATGACATATTCTGGATTGAAGGGACCAAATATAAAAAAGCATTTCAAACAAGCACTAATCCAAATATTGTATACTGAATATTGCATTAGGAGTCCAACTGCTCTAAACAGAGACTGGCATTACAAGCGCATCTGCTGTCAGTGCCTCATGTTGGTGTGTCAATGGTTGGACTAGTCACTATGGAAACACTGATCCTATGACCACATCATCAGTTAACCAATCAAGTGGTCGTCTCTGAGAACAACAACATTCTTAGACTATTGTAATGTTGCTTCCACAACATTTGCCCCCTTCAATGAAAATTCTGTCATCATTTATTCACCCTCATGTTGTTTCTAACTCAAAAACACAAAAAGATATTTACAGCAGTTTGTCCAAGGTGCTCTTTTCCATACAAGGAACTCAACGGTGGTTAATTTAGTTTTAGTTTACTGATTTATATAGCACATGTTACAATGGTCAAGTAATATTTTCAACTTTGCAACCTTAAAGGTGCAGTAGGAGATCTTGGAAAATGCTAACTTTAGCCTGATAGCACTGAAAGCGAACGTCCCACCCTCCCTGCAATCGCTGTCCAAAGCCACATCCCCTGAACGCATTTATGCTCACAGACCAGAATACCACAAACAACATTACTACAAGAGGTTACATCAGCGGTTCCCAATTCCAGCCCATGTTCCGAAGTGAAGTAAACTTCAACGGATTTCCCCTTCTCAGGGAGGAGGGAATATATATATTGTTGAATTATTGAATTCATTATACAATACAACTTATTCAATACTCTCTTTTTTTCAACATTTTAATCGAGAGAACAATAACGTACAAAAAAAACTAAAAGTAAATACAAAAGCTACATACATTATTTCCATATTTTATCACACAATTAAGGCATTGATAGCTTTTTATTAGTGGTGTAACGGTACGTGTTTTCGTACCGAAGGGTTCACGGGGTAAATTCCAAATGGAAGTGATCATCCCTATGCCCTACTCCCTTCGAAGGGCAGAGCCCTTGGAGTGGAGACTTTGGCGTGAGCAGGGCACGTGATTGCCATTATGTAGTCGTTTGGAATGCACTTGGCAAAGGGAGCGATGTAATTTCCTCATTAATTATCTTCAGCTGGGATGTTCCAGTGACAATGCAGCACGGTGTCCGTCAGCAGATGTCCCTGTTTTAATGGCATAAATGTCTTTTTATTATTATTAGCACAACTGTTGCAAATAAACATACATTTTATATTTTAAGAAAGTTTTATATATATATATATATATTATATATAGCATATTTTAAAAACTTTTCCCACTACTCCTGCTGTATACCCAGTGTTGGGGAGTAACTAGTTACATGTAACGGAATTACGTAATTTAATTACAAAATAAAAGAAATTGTAATCAGTTTTACTAAGATAGAAAAAATATGTAATTAAATTACAGTTACTTATGAAAATGTTAAGGATT